TAATTATAAAATCATGTAATATTATTATATAGGTAGTTACCAGACGAATATTTGAAATATCACACGTAATATCTCACTAGAAATTCAAATCTGGTTATGGTGATTTTGGAGTATTACATAGACCAAGTTCATTAAAATTGCACCACTGATCGAATCTTGTCGTAAACTGTAAGACTGCAGTCTCACTCTGTATAGTCTGATTCACATGTAGTCCACGTATTGTGGGCATATAAGAGTCAAAATWTTTTCATTTCGTGTAAAATAAAATGTATAAGAAGTACACAATTTTTAATCAGATTTTATTTTCAATATTCAAGCACAACACTGAAAAAAGTTCAATTCTTTTTGAAACAGTGGGTATTGAATGTAAAACGAATATTATAATATTATCCATATATGTATACATTTATTGATCAAATGTGTTTATATTGTTCGTAAAGACGTCAACAATATTATTCAATCGAAACGAAATAATATTACAGAGTTAAAATAAAAATGTGTGACATTTTTGTGTGAATGACAGGTCAAGTTTTATGTTCAGCTACCTATATAATACGTATAAATTATTATTCAATAATTATTAAATTCTGTTGGATATTGAATTCGAAACACCCACACTGTTATAATCTCCGACACTGGTAGTCCAACGAATATATTCTTCACAAATCACAGATTACAATATTGTTATCATCATCGACGTTTTCGTCGCGTTTACATCGATAAGTCCTGTATATAATAACAATAAATTGAACCCAATCATGATTACATCGACCTCAGTGTACGCTCGAGCGTGGCAGAAAACTGTAATTTTTTTAAAACTTTTTCGGTTAAAGTTCATGATTAAAATTTAAAACAAGTTTGTTTTCAATAAAGTAGTATATTATTATATTATTATTATTATATCATTACCATTTAAATTTATCATTCCTCTCATAACACATGTATCACAATATATTAACGTTAAAAATAATGTAAACATTTCTGAAACCATGAAGATATTATCATGCTTTATAATACTTACGAATACTATACACAATGAATCTCGTAAGGTTTCCTAACGTTTCAAAATCATTATTAAAAAAAAAAAAATGTTGACTACATCATTTACTTATTATGTTCTACACGAATGATTATGGTACAATTATGTTACCATTATTTATTTGTTTGCTCCACGATCTGTGTATGTAACAGAGAAAGAGATAACGAGAAAACAAACAAAAATCCCTTGTACATTATAATTATTCCATGATGTTTAATTATTACTTACTAGTTTTTCCTAAAAAAAAGTTTTGCACAGACTGTGTGTACGTACGTGAGTAGATGGACAATTATAAGATAGCATTGAATTACTTCGTATACTTTATATAGCGTATGCCTAATAAGCTATACAAAATTATACAGATGTACACGATTTAAGTAACTGTAATTTAATTATGTAACAAWAAACAAAAACCTCGCATTGTGTCATTCATATTTTTCCTCGTCGTAGAATGTAAAATACTGATACAATATGTCATTTTATTTTCAGTATTAGAGAGTAAATAACTTGTCAACATAAAGTTGTCCAAAGTATATTCCATCCCTTACAATAAATAATGATTACTTAGCCATGACCTACTGTCGTCTGTATTTAGACTTTAGAGCGTATATTACTAATTTTCCCCTAGACCGAATATTAATCGATAATAATTTACTACACGTCACGATTAACGCGCAAATATTACCTTATATTGCGTTCATGTAGTGGGGTGTGGATGAACGGGAGGGGATGGGGTGGTATCACCATGATACATTATAACACAGTGATAAAACCTTCAAAATTATTTTATGAATAAATTATGATATTCGTAACCGAAGAAATATGAAATAGCAGAACTGCAGGTGACTAACGGATTTTTCCATACAACTGCAGCTTATTATATTATTGTAAATAACGCGTTATACCTACTGCAAAAATGACTGAATTAGTTTAAGCGGACGATAAATTAGCGTATGTGCACTATGCWGATGGGATATAAATTATTTTTCTTATTATTACTATGAGGTCATATAATATGTGTATTAGTATTGATACATATCATAAAAGACAAGTAATTTTCATAATTATTATTGTTTGATTATAGTGTCAATAATTAATAACCAATACGTAGAATACATTGTTTTGAATATAATAATATGCCAAACCTATAAATTGGTGAAAATKTTAGGTATAGTGATAATAGTGATAACTATACAATACTGGTACCTATACCTCACACTTATTTTTTTTAAACGCTTGCAGTATAAAATACAAATCGTAGCAGTTCCCCAAATCTTACATTTTTATTAATCTAAAAACTTTATTTTTTCAGTTCTATAGTTGATTTTGCCATAAACAAATTATTTGAAAATGTCTGTCCAAAGAACACCGATGATCATAATATAATACACAATAAGAGTAATGATACGCTTTTTGTTTGATGTTTGTACCCCTATCCCACTCYGTAAATAAGATATTGCTCACAGGCTCATACATTATTTTACATGATAGTCAGTTACTTTTAGTTAACGTCTAATTCTGGCGAAGAAGAAACCTATAGTGATCGGAACAATGGTGGTGTCCTACCGTGGTCGGGGATCAAACTTACCGAACCGAAACCTAATTACGCCGCCATGGTAGACTACAGGAACTGCCATCCATTCAAATCGGGAAAATAATTATATCATTTTAATGCATATTCCACAATTTATTATACACCACGAAAACCAACAAGACGTAGGATATAGTATGCAAAGGTTAATAAATTAACAAACTGATTCATGAAATTAATTTCACGTATCTTCCTTCAAGGAAGTTCCTTGTGAACAAAACTTCCATATTTAACAATAACCACATTACTTTTTATAACTTATACACCAACATTTCTGTACAATCTATACACTACTTTTGTAAAAAAAGTTGTTGAGTTACAAGGTCAACTATTTCTTTATTGCTTGTTCAAACGCATTGAATACCTAGGTAAAGAAATAAATTCAATTGCCTATTTTTCTTACTACTCATCAATCTAAAAACTCATTTAACTTTTACTCTTCGTTGATAGAATATAATAGTTTGAATATCAACTTTTTAAGCCCATCATCGGATTTTTGAGAAGTTCTGCGTTTGGAAATATTTTTGGAATTTACGTAGGTATTTTTTTATTTTTTCATATAAAAATATATTTATAGTCTTATTAACTCCTGTAGTTCCATCTCTTGTATATTAAGTTTGAGTTTACATTTTTCTTTCAAATCTTACATTAGTATTTTAAATACAGAACACTAATGAGAAACGTTCATATTGGATATTGGATGTACCATATAGGATATAGGGTCTTCTCGATTATAGTTTACCTCCGAATTAGGTTGCAGCATTTCGTTTAATTGAAATGCACAATATATGTATTATAAAAAAAAATTGAATAATGGCTTTTCGTCTATTTTTGAAAACATTATTACTTTAATTGCAACTTTTTATATCAAAAAGTATTTGATTACTCACATATACCATGGTCATGATGGTTTTAGATTTACAAATATATTRTTAGACTTGTAGTCAGCACGACTATCGCATATATTTTAAAAAACTACCTTACATGAAAAAACTTTGGTCCAAGAGATACGCAGAAAGGTATATTTTATTCCTGTTGAGTATACGACTGGGCTTAAACCTCCTACACGCATATGGCGCACAATGTTACGACAATACAATACGTACGTCGTCCATAGTTAGACCGCCAATGTTCCCAATATTTCTTTTGTAACCCATAGCTAAGTCCATTTTAGCTTGGATAACATATTATTCTAATTTATAGTCTACGTAATACCACTACTATACACGACATAAATAAATAACGTTATAGCCATTTGAAAAATTCATCTTTTTGCTAGAAAAAAACTAGGTATTCTATAGAGCAACCGGTGATGTACATTTTTAATTGTTTAAATACGTACGATTCGCTTGTTTTCTAAAACATTAACGGAAATAATCGAGCATCGAGAATCGAAATATATATTCGTATAATCCAAGGATGTATTTTATATTACGGTTAATCAGTAGTTCATTAATGTGACTTAGATAAGGTTGACTTTTAAAGCACTACGGTGCACACTGTATATATATATATATAGGTACCACAATTGACGTGAGATTACCAGTTTTAGTTARGATTTGGCTGTCTGCATTAATGTTTAATTGGAATAAAAAAGCGTTTTGGTATCATAACTGATGGTGAATCTGGTTGATCCTCGATTATGACTTCGGCAAAGGGCTCAAGAACATTATTCGGGATTAATGCTGAAATGCGTTACCTATAACAAATCACTTATTAACCATGTTCTGGCTATGTATTATGTGATTGCGTTYCTTAAACCATTCAAATGTCATATATTTCTTAGCAACTAGCTTTTAATGATTTGACTGGCCATGTTATAAGGAAAAAATATACTAAATGGATTATTTAGTTACAAAATTACAAAGGTAATTAARAATCWTATTTCGCAAAATTATTTTTTTAAATATTGACTATGAAACAATTTCAGTGATACTGGYCTGGAAAATAACATTTTGAATCATACTCAATAATAAATTGTGAATTAGTTCAAAAAATTATCAACGTATAGAYTGACGTTTGTCACTATAACATGTAACAAACAAGAATTTCGTTATRTTATAGTACGCTATAATATTCCATCGATTATGAATAATTCATAATATTATAAATCATAAAATATTTGAAAACTTAGGTATTTTCTTGTTGTACCGTACCTATAATATTATGATCAACGTGTTATACATTGGTTTATTTATTGGTTGAGTGATACGTGTATATTGCAATATTCGTTCCAATTATGTCGKTGCATAWAGGTACACATAGGTACCACATGTGATCGATATACCACATGTTTTACAGTAATTTGTTCACTATTTTAATAACTAAACATTTATTATACTAATATTATTATTATGTCATATGTTACAGTGGACACAACAAATCAATAACATTTATCAAATCGGGTACTTAGTTTCATTCATTGCACTCCTGCTGTCGATTGCTATTCTTACCTATTTCAAGTAAGTGATAAATATTAAAATATTGTTATAGACTTAGTCAGCTATACGATGATGTTTTGTTTTGGTCACTATTTGCATATTTATCACTCGTCCGTTCGAAGTATTATGAAAGTTCATAGTACAGGATTGCTTAAGAAAATATTGGTGGTTGGTAACACACGGTACTTTAAAAAAGGTTATTTTACTTAAAAATAACAGTAGGGTATATGCATATATTTTTAACAAACATGATTTTCATTCTAGTACAATACGTAGTAATAATAATTCTTTGAAGACATATACATTTTTGATGGATTATTTTAAATTTACATTTTTTGGTGTAAAGTATATTTTTTTCAAATGCTGTGTTAGGTCAGATTACTCAGTAAGATACGCATACATTTATACATTATACATTTTTAAAATGTCAAAAATACATTGTTTTTATTYATTTTTATTATATATAATATGACATGTACCTACCTGTATTGTATATATTATATATGTATGTGATCACCAATGCGTCGAATAAGATTACATTTAATGGGTGGGGCAAAATTTTTACCGGCCYTTTGATTATTTAGTTAAAATAATATGTGTATTKSAAAGCTCGAAAACAGAATAACAAAACAAATATTTTTTTAAACTAATGCTATATCTATTAAGCAAGAAGAAAAATAAATAATACAGCTAAAAATAATATAATAGTTCATAATATGATATAATAATTAAATTTAAATAAAATAGCAAAAATTAATATAAGCTTAAGCTTTTAAAGGATATCTACGAGATTTCATGTCTGCAAATAAATAACAGACTATTCACAAATCACAATATTATGATWACAGAGTGTYATCAAAACTAAATACCCATAAATCATAATCACGGTTGGAGGTATCTATAGTATTTAGTCCGTAATATTAACACAGATTTTTAAATTAACGTTAGGCGAAAAACGTTTACAATTTCATAACTTAATAACTTAAATATGTTTCTAAATTGCTTAAAAATGTAGCGTTCTACGATTATGAGTTTAGGGCGAGTGGTCCACTATGAGTAAGGCTCTATAAATATTTTTATATAGCTCTACTATGAGCGAAGCCACCATTCCAGCGGCCCTGTGCCCCTATCGTACCAAAAATTTTACCAGCCTACAAGAAATCAAGGGTATGGCAATTGCCCCCGCCTACCCCCCCTCCAAATGACGCCACTGATTTAATACAGGAATAATTATAATATGCTCTCTTTAACTGTAAATAATTCGAGAGCATATTTTACAAAAAAAAGTTTTTATAAATTTTGTTTTTAAACATTTTTTATTGAATAAAGTTTTTTATTAATTAAAATAGTTAAGATTCCGATTGAAGTGATACTATTGAATCCAGGTAGTACTTTAAATACTTTCTATATTTTTTGAATATCCTTATATCTTCATATTTTTTATTAAAACATCTTCTGTGACCATTAATCACATCCTATAGTTTGAATCATATAGCTTAATATGACGTGATTTTGTCTATAAACGTATTATAAGACTGTCACTAAATATTTTAGTTAAAATTTGATTTATTTCTTTGTAATTTAATGTGAATTGTTGATGGATAAACATGTTTTGTTATTTAATTAAATGCATGTAGTATGCTACAAAATAAGTAGGTATTTCAGGAATTATTAATTTTGAGAATGTTACACAGTATAAATATTGCGAATAAAGTTTTCAAGGTGTTGATTTCTAAAATTAAATAAAAAAAGTTGATAATTTGGGTGTATTATCGGTATAAGTAATTGTTTTATTTTTACCTACAGTTCATCATATAATATTTATTTTATATTCAATTTTTTATTTTCAAACTTTAAAAGTGTAACACAACTAAAATATATGGTTTTAATCAATCATTTTTTTTCCAAACTGTAAGTCCAATATTATTATATAATATTATAGGTATGTGTGTATATAATGTAACATTACGTTGTTATGGCGATTTTAGAGGATGGTGAACTTTCTATGAATGGTACTCATTACGTACACGAACCTAATTTACTATAAAACGTCGGAAAAAAAACGTTATTTTATTTGATGATGAATGTCCACAAATTCAACGAGCTCCCTTGCTCATTTGTTTTCGTTGCATTGACTCTGATTTAGCGTGGGTTAGATAATACGGGGTAGTAGTAAAAAAAAATATAAATATAATATTCACTATACATCATAACCACAACATAATATTATTTATTGCCTTTTTAAATGTGTGTGTGTGTGTGTGTGTGCACATTTTCTGGTAGTATCGATGCAAAATAACTACAACCTATTCGCAGAAGCGCATTAGATAATAATATATGGACCGTTGAAGACTTTATTATTATTATTATTTTTTTTTTTATTGATCTAAAAAACATCGGTTCTATGGCCATTAGTTTGACATTAACTTATTATTATTATATGTTGCTATTTAAGTGCTTACACTCAAAAATGGTCATCATTATTTTCAATTCTTTGTCCTGGTTAACCACTATAAATCAACTAGGTTTTAAAACAAAAGAATTTTTTACATTGGTGTACATGCACATTGTGCTAAAGCCTTTGTGCATACACCACCACATAATGGAATGATTACACTAAAGTGTAATCGTTTTACAACCACGACCTTTGTCGGTTGAGATTTTCCAAATCCCTATAAAATTTATAGCGATTTACATATTATTTATAAATGAATAATTGATTGTTGTATCACGGAACACTATAAAGTGACGTATAGTACATATTTGAATAACCATAAAAAAATTTAAATAATTATTCGCATATAAAARTCGAGGGTTAAATGCGTTTTTTTTTTGCACACGACCGCTTAATGTTTTCCACACTGTTTTTTAAATTTTTATTGAATAAAATTACTTTGAAAAAATAAGCCGAGTTTGTTTAATTCAAATTGTGATTGTAATAGATAAAAATAAGTATAGCTTAATATTCTATTCTTAATAATGTGTAAAAATACACCTTAAAATTTTGAAATTTTGTGTTGTATTAATTGTTTAGGCAAAAACAAAATAGCCACTTCATTAATTCGATATAGGTAGGAACTGTCTATAAATTAAACACTATTGTTATGATAATGTTAAATTTTTGATGCTGTGATATTTGAACAGTACTTCACATACACAGTCTCGTGAGAATTTCTTATTTATATTATCAAGAACAATAAGAAATAACAGAAACCTAATTAGAATACTCCATAATTGGATGTATTCGACATTCGGGAAACACTTTGGAACACGATGACAATTCTCATTGAATACAAAATATAATATTGTACCTATTATAACAGAATTGACTGAAAATGAAAGATGTTCACTAAATGCAATCTAAATTTATTAATTAACTATGATTTACAAAGAACGTCAAGTTTATTGTGTTTTATTTTTTGTTGATAACATATAACATACATAAAATTGTTCAAAATACACGTTTTTTTAACATCTAAAGGTACAAATTTAGAACTCACTGTACTAATCTATTTTAAATAGAATGTTTTTGAGTTGGGAATTTGAATACTTTATCAAACCAAACTGTTAATTATTAAATAGGATAATAATTACAAATAAGCCATCCTAGAAATTTGAATTGTATTATAATATAATTTAATAATTAATATTAATTGTTTTAGATTGATTCTTATTAAAACAATTTAAAAGCTTAAAAATGAATTAACTAATGACGTCTGTTGTTATGCATTTTTTCTTTATTCATAGGYACATAGAAACTATGTGGAACTATAAACATGACTAAATAACTAAATATAATTAAGTATAACAATATTATACAATAAYTAAAAACCATTTTCATTTACGTCACAAATATTTATGAAAAATAAAATATAGTATATCCATTAAAATAAAAAAAAATTTATACTAACCAATTTCCATTATACTGTAAGCAGTGACATGCAGTTAACACTAACCTTGAACATAATAATAATGATAATTTTTTTAATGCTTTGAATAATATTATGTGATAAGTACATACGTCATAAATATTTATGAAAAATTAAATATAGTATATTCATTTAAAGTAAAAAATACTATATATTTACAAATTTTCATTATACTGTAAGCTGCAATGACATATATTTTTTTTCACAACAACGATAAGGTTATTACCTGTACAGTTTTATAACATTTACATTATTTAAGATTTTATTTTATTATCTGATACCAATTTAATTTATAAATTTGAATATATAATTAATGTATTGATTTAGGGGATTAAGCCCATGTTTTTTAACTAGATTGAAATTTGAAACTATATCACCTTAACAATAAAATAGATAATTGATTGATTTGACACATCTAAGTTTTTATTAAAACTTTCTTAGGTCATTGTAAYTTGTAAGTAATTCAATTTTTAATTAATATAATACAATATTTTCTATTACTTGATCATCAAATATATTATTAGTTATAACTGTACGTAATAACAAATATGATAYATTTTATTTAACATATAATTGATAATGTATCAAAGATTTTTTATAAAATATCAAAGGAAAACCCAATAAAGATAATATCACATTTTTCCGAAGTTAAAATTGTACATAACAAATCAAAAGATATATTTATATAATACTATGCTAAGACTTATCAATATTCATTATTGTTTAAAAAAAAATGATAATTTGTATAATGTTCATAAATTACCATAATTTTTATTTTATTGTATACGTTTTTAAGATAATTATTTGATGATTATAGTATTTTTTTTATATTTTATCAATTATTTATATGTTAATCATATTGAATTGAATCGCTGATCAAAAATCCAAATGAGCTACAATTGATCCCGCTTTTTTAACTATGRTTTATTCAATGACAATAAATTAAATCACATTATACAACGTCAAACCTATGGCCTACTATTTACAATTTAATAAACTTTAAGAGATCAAATACTGTTTTTCAAGCACTTCATCCTTGTGTGGTACAGACCTGAAACCAGTTATACCTACTATTTAGAAAATTCAAGTTTT